AGATAATAGACCATGTGCTGATATAGTCAAGGCTGTGGTAAGACTGGATTGAGACGAGCTCCCCACGGAGATAAATATACCTGATCTTTGCCAGCTGCTACTTTAGCCACTGCCACCCAAAAACTGAAGCCGGGCATTTGCAGCAGCGGGGTAAGTAGGAGACAGCTGAGGCTGGAAAGTACCTGAGATGGGAACCCAGAACCAAAGTGCTTTGATATGGGCCTGGTTACCAAGACTGCCCAGACTTTCTCATTCTAAACTTTCTTTTTGTTTATTATGCTGCCAAACAATTACTTTGTTTACAGAAATGGTTTTAGCTATTTCTAAGACCAAGACTACTGGAAAACAGAGCTGAATCCAAACACGGTGGAAGTGGAAGAGGATGAAGCGAAGCAGGACAGCACAACTGCGTGACTGTTCTCATTTCACATGAGGAAACACTACATAGGGCAATGCTAACGGGGAGGGCAAAAATCTCTCAAGTTGATCCCCTCATGTGACAGATGCACTCGACCCCTTGGCCAGACTGGCAGTGGTTTGGTGCAGGCTCCGAAAGCAATAAAACCCTGAGCTATAGCTGGGCCATGAACTCCTATAGTTTCAATCTGTTCTCTGAAAACCCACAAAGGAGCAGAGCAATCCATTATCAAGGAACAAAAAGTCGTGGGTACAAGGAGTCTCCTGCAGACCTTTTCTATTGTATGTAATTTGACTATAAGCCAACCACTTTATCCTATAAATACAGAATCATAGAATCATTTAGGTTGGAAAAGACCTTTAAGATCATCAAGTCCAACCATTTTTGGAGCTCTCCCTGCTAGGCAGCACGGCGGTGATGTCCCCTTGAGCTGGGACACCTCTCAAGGTTGCTCCTCGAGGCAGAGAGACCTTTTACTAATGACAGATCTTGTAAAATTTGCCCTTGGGAAAAGGCACATCACTGAACACTTTATAGTAACAATGATAACTATTTCTTATGCATCGGTGAGCCTTAATATGAACATAAGGTCTTATACAAGTATAACCCTGAGGCTAGAGAGAGATTTAACCTATTTAAAACTCAATGTAACTCTGGTTCTAAATTTTGAAAAATCACTTGGGATTTATTCAAGGCCTATCTCTAATGCCTCTGATTTTGCCACTGGTACTGTTACTGTCCCCAAGTGGCAAAACACTTCCTAAACCCATCTACACTCATCAATTTAGTTATGCAACAGATTTAAGAAAGGTCCAAAATTTTAGGGGTGTTTTTGGTTTTTTAAGGCAGTTGTCCTTTCAGGCTTTCAGGTGCATCAGAATCTAGAAAACAACCATTATTAACAACTTTACAGAGCATACAGAATATATACCTTTCTGGTTGTGCAAGGCTACAAAAAATTTGTATGAAACACTAACATCTCACACCAATGACCAATACTTAATGAAAGACTGCAACTTTTTAGAGGGGAAAATACAAAGCTAAACTATCTGCAAATAATTTCAAACCTGAGAAAGAGATAAGGATGTTGCTATAAAGATATGTTTAAATTCCTTACGTGTTATAATGTAATCCTGTGTAAGAGTCTCTGCTTGTCTCTCTTTTCGTTTTGTTTTGACCACGCATAATTTTGCTCCCCTAGGAGGAAACATATAGCAGTTCAGCTGGTATGTTTATATCAAACAGAAACCATTTTTTATTCAAGACATAGTCTCAACAAAATTATACAGCACTTTAAATATTCATGAATGTGTGTATCTCTGGTTGTTGATGCATATGCGAAGGAGGATAGAGAGATTAGTGTTTCTGTTACAAAGCAGTTTATATGACATGCGGAAATAAGGGTGGAAGATTCATTTCACACGTCATTTGTCCACAGTACTTGTAGCATGCACATTGAAAGTGCTCCTCTCCAAACATGGGCAATGATTTGTTCCTAGTACTCTTCCTGAGCAGCAGAGGTGGCAGCTATCTAACCAGAGGTGTCTGTAACACTGCAGCAGTAGGGATGGCATAAGCCTGTCTGCAGCAAGTCTGATTTAAACTGGTGGTATTTTCCTCCTTATGATTAAGTACCAGGAAACAAACCAGGCACAAAACTGAGCTAGAGCTCTTCTGGTCTGTGCCTAGGAGACTCAGGCTGCCTTAGGAGAGGGGTCCAAACAATGATGACTAACTCTCTTGTTCTCTAAATTGACAAAGACCAGAAAAATAAAACTTATTTCTGATAATCTTGTACACCAGAGTTTATCTTCACATCCAAGTGTCCAGGTCACAGTAAGAACCCAAAAACTGTGAACTGTAGCACATTATGTTTTTGGATGCCAGTGAAACAAAAGACGAGCAAGATGGTGGAAGAACATCTTATTCACATTGCTCAGTATAGATGGAGTGTACACTTCCCCTCTGCTGACAGGAAGGAAGCATGCCCCAGTTCTCCAGCCAATCCAGACTGTAAAAGCAAATTAATTGCAAAAGAAGTATTTATAGACTAGTTAAGTCCTCTTCTTTTCATTCCAGGCTGACAAGTCACCTTCTGATGAAACACTACAACCTTTCCATTAGATGTACCAGCAAAATCCACACATGATAGGTGGGGGTGGGGGAGAAGACTAGCAGAAAGACAGGAACGTGCTTCCTTGCTTTGCCCCCTCTCAAACTGGGTCTTCCAGTATTACTCCATAGACACTGAAGTTCAAGCTAATGCTTCTAAATAAGATTTTTACTTCAGAAAAAAAAGACATCAAAAATATAACTAAATACAATAAATATCCTTTCAATAACACCACATGAGCAACCTCCAAGAGATCAGATGAAAGGTTAGTCATTCTTACTGCAGATTTCATGCAATTAAAAAATGAAAGTGTTTGTAAATTCAGGTAGAACAGCCAGCATACAGCACCATGAAAAGCACAGAGGACAATGCACCACTTTTCAGAAACAAACTGGTTTTGTTATTTTTTTCTTTCTACTGTAACTAAATAAGTAAAACTCTGCAAAACAAATGTTACTAAACCAGTTTTTCTCATTTCTTAGTATAATCATAGAATCATAGAATAAGGCTACATTTGAGAAAAAAATAATGTTCTTAATCATTAATCATGATTACATACCTCTGGCTTTTGACAGGATCATAGTACACTTTGGCCAAGCCATTTCCTGTACCAACCATGATCTGGTTCAGCTTGGGATGCCAAAGGCAACGCACAACACTCTGAAATAAAGCAACATATTGACAATTAGTTGGTCATTCATCTAGAGCTTAGAATTAATATTCATATTGTCAAATAGTGGATCAAAGTCACACTGTAGCAGGAACAAGCTTAAGCACATGAATGAATATGTGAATATGTGACTGAATAAAAGTTCCTCTCCAGAGCAGAATAAAATGTAAAAGGAGTGGCACATATGGATATAGGCAGACAAGGAGGTACAAATTGGTGGCAGTGTGATAACTGGTGGTTTCCACAGGCTAACTGCTCCAGGGTCTTTGTGGGCATAATGGAAATGGAAAGTTAAAGGGGGATTTGAAGGAGAACAATGAAGTGCTTCAGATATAGCAATGCAGGCCTTCATGACTTTTGCATTTTAATTCTTAATTCTTCCACCCTCTTCTTTACTTTATCTTTTTTTCCCTTCTTCTCAGACAGTGCTGACCTTTCACTGGCTGACTGCAGAAACGGAGGAGTAGCTGATTTTTACTCTTGGTTCTTTCTTCCTCACAACATCCAGAAGAACTTGGTATTTGAACCCAATGTCTCACAGCTCTATCACCGTTCTGGTCAGTAGAGAAACTCATTTTCAGACATTAAGAGTATTGTTCTTTTATATACACAGCGTGGTTTTCCGTGTGACTTTGAATCTCCATATGATTACTGTAATCAGGCTGATTCAGCAGGCCAGCACAGAAACTCTCTAAGACTCGAGCTTCTGACTCGAGAGAGCCAAAGAAGTGGGCACGATCTGCCACGAAGGACAACACATCTTAACAGAAAGACAAAACCTGTAAGTGCATCTGACTCACTGGGGGGAAAAAAGTCTCTACTTTTGAGAGACTGTAACTCTTTAAAGGGATACTGCCCAAGACTGAAGACAGGTCTTAACAGCGTTTGTGTTACCTATGTAATAAATGTATCCAGAGCTAGCAGGATGCATCATCCTGCTAGTATTTCACTGAACAAGGCTCATTTTTCTAGCCCTTTTTTCTCCTCAAGCTTACTACTTCTCCTTTCTCGAAAACCAGGAATAGACTCTTCTCAAAGTGAATTAATAATTCAATAGTCAACCACTATCCTCCATCTATCATTATATCTATACTTTTTTTTTTTTTTAAACACATAATACAGCACATGAAATTCACAAAAGGGGAACCACTAATATCTTAACAAGAGAAATGCAGCAAAGCTAAGATATAATTAGGGGTGTGATATAGCCCTATAACTTGGGAGATGAGAACCATCTAATCTGGAAGAGAATGGTTATGTATCAGCTCTAGTGACTCGTGAATCATTTCCCATTTCATGTTCCATACTATTTCTGGTTTGGTCCAGATCCCAGTTTTTTGAAAGTTATGAGGTACATAACATAAAAAATACTGAAAAAATTCTGAAGCCCATTCAGCCATCATGAGTCAGAACTTCATTTTACTACAAGATGATGGATGACTCTCTTCTGAGCTGTTTTTCTGCTTTGTGTTCTTATTTAAGAAGAAAAATTGAGTGAGACGAGTTTACATGAATCAACTGACCATTCTTTACAAGGTTCCTCTGTAAAACATCCCCTGTCTACATAGATGTACATACAAAATTATACCTTCCCATTTACTTACAGGTACAAATAAACCTTGCTTGGTTATTACGAGACAACTAAAAGGACAAGAATCTTTTTGTAGGTAACTCTGAAGTACAAAGTAGAATTCTGATAATGATCCCTGACACAAGCAACCAAAATAACCAATACAGGGCTGCTCATAAGCTGTTTGATTTAAATAAGAGATTCTTACATAACTGTTACGTAATGCTCGAAATGCTACGGTAACTGTAAAACACACAACGCTAATAAGAAGTACTGAAGGTCAAAGGTGGGTGGCCTTTTCTTTTATTAATATTTATTGCATGTGTTTAGCCAGCCTTTTTGAACTTTGTAGTTAATGTGGTTCTCCACTTTCTACTGTCAAGTAAATGTATTTTATAGCATGGTACTGGATACCAGCCAACAAAAACAAAGCCTGAGACAGTGTGGCTCAGTGCTGATGGGGATTGCTAAGTTTCTAACTTGTCAAACATGCACAGTACACTTAAAACCACCATGGCACACGCTCCAGAGCAAGCAGAAGAAACTGCCATAAAATGCAGCACTATAAATCTGAAACCATAAAATGTCCCTAGAATATAATTTGTTAAACAGTAAGCAAATACAAGCTCTGAACATGCAAGTAATTTTATTAAACCACTGGCATATAAACCTACTTTATAAGAAATAATAAAAACTACTTATGTGGATTTTCGGATTATTTTAGAAATGGGCAATACTTTAAATAGAGCAAAATACTGAATTCCTGAACTAAATCCTAATAATTTTTCCCAATCACATAATCCCAAGGAAGTAAAAATTCTAAATAACTATACAACAAAGGGATCATTGTAGACTAGGCCTTAACATTGGGAGTGAAGGGAGGAAGGGGAATCCTTATCATACAAAAATAATTCCTAAAAGAGCATTTATCCTTTGATGCCTCTAACTTCCCTACTGTTTGCACTTAGAATAACTCAGGTAGACATCTTTATCACTGGAAATGCTAAACATCAAATTCCAGGTTACAGCAGGTCCTGCCTCCCAGCTCTCCAGGCAAATAAGTGTGTCGATAGTAGGAAAAGAAGCATTTCCACGGCCTGGCCTATCTATGCACATAGGTAGATACCCACCCACTGATACTGGATTTTACACAATCACAGAACGATTGCGGTTGGAAGAGAGCTCTGGAGATCATCTAATTCAACCCCCCTGCTCCAAGCATGGTAAACTACCACAGGTAGCTCAGGACATTGTCCAGTTTGGTTTTGAATATTTCCAAGGATGGAGACTCTACAGCCTCTCTGGGCAACATGTTTCAATGTATGACCACCCCCACCATAAAAAAAACCACAAGCAAACCCCAAACCATTTTCTTATGTTTAAGTGGAATTTCTTGTGATTAGTTTTGTGCCTATTGCCTCTTGTCCTGTCACTGGGCACCACTGAGCTTTGCTTTATCTGCTTCACCCTCCTGTCCCCCTTCAAGTATTTATACATAAGATCCCCCATGAGTGTCCTCTTCTCCAGGCTGAGTGATCCTAGCTCTCTCAGCCTTTCCTTCTGTGCCAGAGACTCCAAGCCTTTAATCACCTTTGCAGTCCTTCACTGGATTCACTCTAATATGTTCATCCCTGTCTTGTACTGGGAGCTCAGAACTGGACCCAGCTTGTCTCACCAGGGCTGTGTAGAGGGGAATAACGGCCTCCCTCAACCTGCTGGCAACGCTCTTTTGCCTGATGCAAATGCCCATGGGCTTCTTGCTGCCACTTTCTGTTTCTCTCAGATGGAAAGGGGATTTGCCATTTCACAATCACTTTTTAAGAATAACTTATTTCATTTTAAGGTTGTGCTCTGCAATGGAACCCAACACAAACAAGGTGGTACTTCAGTTTTAATTGCCCCTGAGACAGGAGCTCAGGCTGGAAGCAATAACCTCAGCAGTGAAGAGCAAACTGCAAGCTCTCACTCTAGTTACCAAGGTGGTTTCATGCTCGGTAAGAGAAGTAAAAGAGCAAGGAATTAAACTGCTACATTGCTTTATGGAAAACTAGCACAAAAGACTTGACTAATCATAAGTACCAGTTGTAAGGAAATCCTGTGAATGACAGCTTCAAGACTCAGAAAATACAAACACCAGAACAACAACAAAAAACTTCAGTTAACTAATTCTAGATTCAAACATTCGACACAGAAAGAGTTAACCTGTTTCTTATAATATTTAAAGCTGAAACAAGGTAAATCTAGGTAGATTCTGAAATCCAAAATCTTCCAGGTCATATCTTAGCTTTGCAAACAGAAAATAATGTCTCATTATAACAAATAAAAGTGATAAAATTCAGAATGTATCATCACATAAACATGTTCAACATTTGAAAAAAAGATTTCTGTAATGCCTGGATGTTTTGGACAGCACATCTTTGGAGCATGAAGTCGGGGGCCCCTGCCATAAAAATCCTGAAAATAATTTTATCCATGGAATTGATGTGGCCAGCTTCGTGACCATAAGATCAGAAAATACAGCACTTACAAAAGATAATTACTGGTAACGATTTAACAGCTGTTTAGTACTTTTGCTGTTGCAAAAACATTAAGTTCTTCAAATGAAATCAATCTGAAAAGTCTTTGGCAATGTCTATTGCATATACAAACACAGTAGTCTGCATTGGGAAATACTGGGAAAAGATTGTGAAAATATTTTTGTGAAGTCAGGCAGGGAAAATATTAAAAATGTTAACAGAAAGTGGAAACAGTCCAAATTTACCTTCTTCGTTGTCCCTGTGAAAGGGGTTAGAACAGATTCAGTGGGTATTATTGATCATAGGCCTTTGTAACTATTTTCAGGTAACAGATTGTCTTGTAATGCTGACTTAAAGTCAAATAAAAAAATTATCTACACAATTTTAAAGACATCTTTTTTTGCAATCTGGATGAAAATGTTTATCTGCTTAAAAACTTTAAAATAAGAACATATTACTGATTGTTCTTGAAACTAGCCATACTTTTTCTAAAGTTGCTATACTATTGTTTTAAATAGAAAATATGAATTACCTGAACAATATACAATTTTTACTTTATTTTTTAAACTAAGCACTATAGTCATTTCAGACTCTCAGTTCTTTTAAAATAAACTCCAGTTCTACAAAATTTTACCTATAACAACTTAAAGGCTTAATAATATGTGGTAATCTTAAACCATAAAACTCATAAACACGTAGAAAGGTGGCAGGCAAAAGTGATGATATCACTATTCCCTCGTGTGCTATTCCACCTGCATTTCTTCTGAGACATGTGCGGTCGCAGCTCGTACAATTCTGAGGTGGTTCATAAATAGTCTCACCCCTAACAGTATGTCCTCACCTGTTTGCTTCCCTTTGTATCATATAAGCAGAACTGTTGCTGCAGGTAAACAGTAAATTACAC